GCTGATTGTCTAAAATCTTTTGTGAGCTGTGTACAAGCAAGGTTTACTGCGATAGATGAAGGACAGGAAGATTAAAGGAGAGAAACGTTGTCACTGGCGAACTCGATGAGGGAATGTGATATTGTATGTAATGCTACGAAGCCTGCAGTCCAGGAGTTAATGGTGAATAATAACCCGTAGTGAATTAAAGCTGTAATCATACATGTAATGAGATTTACTTCAAATTGTTCTAGTTTCACTCTACTTAAAGCCTTCTAAGAGTTTGGACACACCAAGGAATACAAAATCCGAACATGAACAACATTTAACATTACCGTCAGAAAAGCAACAATAACCTTGCATTTTTTCATTTTTACACGCTGCAATTTTAAAATTTAGGATTTTTCAACCATTTTCATTAATAGAAATTTCAAGAACTTTTTCAGAATTATCTTGAATGAAACTGTGTGCAATACAAATTGCTTCTCACTATGCTTGTTTAAAGGGAGTGTTCGCTAAAAATGAAAGGGGGTATAGGCTTAAGGCGAAAAGTATTTGATGGTGATTGTTCCTAAGCTTACTTCTATCTGTTGCGTCTATAAAAGAGAAAAAGGTTAAACACAACTCAAACTGAAAAACAAGGAGTCCATACAAAATCAGAAAGTTGCTAAATTTGACTCAGATCGTAAAAAAATCTATTTAATTTCAATCAAATCATTCAGATATTACAACCTATAATCATTAAATTTTTTTCGACGCATTTAAATATAGTTAATACTTAATATTATTTTCTTATTGTTTTATAAACATTATGCACTGAAAACAACGATTTTTAGTCCGCTAGGTGTGTGTCTCTACCATGTGGGACCATTCAGAAACATCGAAAGCAGAGACACCTAGAGGCCAACTAATGGTTGTTTAAATTGCATCATATGTAAAAGAAATAAAAAATATACATGAAATATCAACTATGCATCGAATAAAATTCGATGACTATAGGTTGTAATATCTGAATGATTTGCTTGGGGTTGAATTGATTTTCTTACGATCTGAGTTAAATATTGGAACTTTCTCATTTTAATAATAATAATAATAATAATAAATTTATTTCAAACTAGATTGATTGTTACATAACATTTTATGGTCAATGTATATATATAAGTTGTCGAAAAATTAAAATTTGTTACAGTATTTATGTACATAAATAGTCTTTCTCTAGTTTGAGGACTAACAGAGACTAGAGACTGTTTGAATTAGCCCATTGATAAAATATTTTTTTGGGGGCTGATCCTTTCGTATAAGTTGTTTTTAACAATTTTCTTCTTATAGCCGCAACAAATAGAAGTAAGATTTATCACCATTGAATTTTTTTGGACGTAAACCTATACTGCCTGTATTTTCCCCTAAAACTCCGTATAGATAAAACAGGGAAAAAAACTGTGATATCTCAATGGTTTTTATTTAACAACTTCATAAGTGATTTGTAATTCAGCCAAGTGTAATTCCTAAATAATATTTGAAAAGTTTATTTTTAAAGTAACAATGTGTGTAGGGTAAAGTGTAAAGTTTAGAATCTAAAAAGGAAACCCTACTTTGCACTTTGTACAATAACATTCCAAAGTGGAAAGTCTAAAAATGTAGTGTTGAGATTATATTTTAAGAATTATTTTTTTAATTTTAAAAAGATTTTTATAAAAGACAATTACAAACTTGTACAACAATATATAGTATATTGTTACGCGAGCCATGCTGCGTGTAGAAAGTCTGCTTGTCACCCCTGGGTATTTCTGAGTTCTCCCTGAAGATCTGTACGGAATGTATTGTGAAAGAACTAGTTTAGGAACTGTTTACAGTCCGACTGCGCAGACGCAAGATTTCTAGCGGAGTAGTAGTTATATTTATATTCAGTATATGTTTNATAAATTTTACCATAAATACTAATAGATAAATTTTACCATAAATACTAATAGATAAATTTTACCATAAATACTAATAGATAAATTTTACCATAAATACTAATAGATAAATTTTACCATAAATACTAATAGATAAATTTTACCATAAATACTAATAGATAAATTTTACCATAAATACTAATAGATAAATTTTACCATAAATACTAATAGATAAATTTTACCATAAATACTAATAGATAAATTTTACCATAAATACTAATAGATAAATTTTACCATAAATACTAATAGATAAATTTTACCATAAATACTAATAGATAAATTTTACCATAAATACTAATAGATAAATTTTACCATAAATACTAATAGATAAATTTTACCATAAATACTAATAGATAAATTTTACCATAAATACTAATAGATAAATTTTACCATAAATACTAATAGATAAATTTTACCATAAATACTAATAGATAAATTTTACCATAAATACTAATAGATAAATTTTACCATAAATACTAATAGATAAATTTTACCATAAATACTAATAGATAAATTTTACCATAAATACTAATAGATAAATTTTACCATAAATACTAATAGATAAATTTTACCATAAATACTAATAGATAAATTTTACCATAAATACTAATAGATAAATTTTACCATAAATACTAATAGATAAATTTTACCATAAATACTAATAGATAAATTTTACCATAAATACTAATAGATAAATTTTACCATAAATACTAATAGATAAATTTTACCATAAATACTAATAGATAAATTTTACCATAAATACTAATAGATAAATTTTACCATAAATACTAATAGATAAATTTTACCATAAATACTAATAGATAAATTTTACCATAAATACTAATAGATAAATTTTACCATAAATACTAATAGATAAATTTTACCATAAATACTAATAGATAAATTTTACCATAAATACTAATAGATAAATTTTACCATAAATACTAATAGATAAATTTTACCATAAATACTAATAGATAAATTTTACCATAAATACTAATAGATAAATTTTACCATAAATACTAATAGATAAATTTTACCATAAATACTAATAGATAAATTTTACCATAAATACTAATAGATAAATTTTACCATAAATACTAATAGATAAATTTTACCATAAATACTAATAGATAAATTTTACCATAAATACTAATAGATAAATTTTACCATAAATACTAATAGATAAATTTTACCATAAATACTAATAGATAAATTTTACCATAAATAAACCTTTTTTTAATTATTTCAAATTATTCTAGGATCAAGTAAGTGATATTCTGCCGGCCACAGTGAGATATTTTTTTTTAAATAAAAAAATTGTTTTAAAAATACAGTTAAGCTTAAAAAAGAGCCAAGATGTTTATTCTTTTCAGCTATGAGGAAAAAATGCACAAAGCTGTACAAAGTTTTTTGAAATTTTTGCTATAGCCCTTTTTGAAAATATATGCATATTTCGCGTTTTGTAAATTCATCCAGATATTGAAAATGCAACAAAAATTGACATGAGAAAAAAGTTAAGGAGTAAACTGGCTTTGTAATTTCTCCGCTTGAAAAATGAAAATATGTTGAACTTTTAATATGGTTAACAGAACTGTGACATCTTTAAGTTGTTAGATTATTCTAATTGTATTACGCCGCAGCCTGTGTCCCAATAAACATGGGAATTGAGAGACGACTTGAATATCGTCTTTGATTTCTGATAAAATTAATTATCAATTAAAATGAGTTTTCCAAAATGTAATCTATCTACATACAATCTTTGTATCAATTTAAAATTAACAGAGATATTAAATATTTGAACACTGTTGTTGATTTTTAATAAACTGGAATCTGTATAATTATTTCTCAATAGCTCAGTTAATTTAAAGCTGAAAAAATGGTAAACCACATTTTGGAAATCCCGAGACTAATGTAGTTTTAGGTTTTAACTGTTTCAACTGTGATACTACAAAATTAAATTTACGAAATAAAGCCGCTTGGAACAAAGACGATATATAGAAGTCGGTATTTAACCCTATCCCTGCTGGGTACTTTAAAACCGGATACGCTGGGGGCTAGGCTAAGTTTGAACCCCCCCCCCCTCTAAATCCCATGTTTTATGTCCAAAAATGACAAATGATACATAATTGAAAGCTCTTATTCTCTACTTTTAGAATCTGTAAAAAAAGCAAATTTGCAAATATCGATTTTTTTTGCAAATTTGGGACACTTAATCTTATTTTCCTGCTCTGATTGCAGAGGAAGTTCCCTTCCCCCCCTCGTGTCATTTTTCTTACTAAACTTTAAAAGCATCTTCAAAGAATTTACAAAGAATTTACCTAGAATTTACCAAGAATTTACCAAGGATTTACCTAGAATTTACAATTGAATTTATCTAGAAATTCGATTGTGTAAGAAATTAAATCAACAAAACGTTAATTGTTTTTTACAATGGTCCGTAAAGAATCTTCTGTTATACAGACTGTGCATACAGTGGTAACCAGACAACGATTGTCGTCTTCTTCTGCAATCTTTCTTACTTTTTATTTTTTGCAAATATATCCTCATATTTTGTAGTTTTCAGCTAATTTATACACCATAACATTTTCCAGTCACTACAAAGATTAGAGATGTGGGTACGGGCGCGCTATGCTGGGTAGTTTTGCTAGTTATAAATTAATATAATAAAAATTTTGTAAATTTTTTGCTTGCCCCTTTTTTGTATATTGCCTATTAAGATTTAATTAATTTGAATATATTATGTGTAACAGTTTTTAGTATTTAAAACTCTTTTGGAAAACATAAGCAATTTACTTTCTTCAAGAAAAATTTTGAAATTTCCGAATTTGTTTTTCTTTAATCTTCTAGTGTGCATGCACAATGCACATTCATTAAGAGTACATATTCAGCGTTATCAAACAGGGGAGGTGGGATTTCTCCCAAGATATTGAGAGGGGAAGGGGGGGAAGTCCCCTCCCTCCTTATACGACATTTTTATCACTATTATTATTATTGTTACTTTTATTCAATATAGAATTAAGATAAAAAAGATTTTATATCGTCTTCTGTTTTCCTTATCTTCTTCCATATTTAGCATTATCTTTCAGTTGATAAAAAACCTTGTTTCACATTTTTTAATGGAAGTTTTAAAATCGGGATTTTTGTTCCTTTTTATAAATCTAATTGCTGGATTTCCGTTCCCAGAGGAGTGTGGGATAACATACATAGAGCCGAGTAATATAGAGAATGCTACGCGGCATGAGGACGGGAAAATTGTTGGAGGATTTGAGGCTGTTCCCGGGTCATGGCCATGGCAGGCGTATCTTAAATATCGGGTAGTTTTTCCTTTTTTTTCTAACTCCCCTACTCCCTACGCTGTGCTAAAAAATAGCGCAATAATCCATGATCATGTACGACTACGGGGAATATTTTTCTTTTACAATGTACAAGAGAAGCATTTCACGAATCACAGGTTCCTTGGTTTTACGCAAGATCACACTTATGTTGAATAAAAAATGTTTTAAAAAGTTTAAATACATCGTTGAAATTGCTTAAAATACATAGTTTTCATTTTTAAAACGTATTATGTTCTTTTTGTCTTTTTAATAGAATTTTATTTTTAGAAATGTTATCTTTTATTTATGTTTCAATTCCCTGATATTCAAAACAAGCTTATCATGCAATATGTGTTTTAGAATGCTATCTTTTACTTACTTTGCAATTCCTTGATATTCTGCAAAAACAAGCTTATCATGCAAGATTTGATTCTTTAAGTTAGTCAATGTTTTTAAACTCCTAAATAATTTGACTGATAAAAGAACAAAAAGCATAATATCAATTTCTAAATCAATAATCTTAAACTATCACTAGTACTGGCATTTTCAAATGTGGCCTGTCTTTTTGAGCTTTCAAAAATGGAGAATCAAAAATTTGGCCTTTGTTTTTAGGCATTTCATGCACTGTAAAAAACTGCATCTCATTTCAAGCATCTGGCTGAAATTTTAGCACTAAGCAACTAAAGCAAACTGTACAATACTAATACAAACAATTTAAGGGAAAAAAACTTTATGTTCATGTCATGTTGAAGAAAAAGAATGTTTACTATAATTTGGTGACAAATACAGTATAAACACTCTGTCATAAAAAAACAAAGACGATCTTTGTAAGTTGTCATGTTTACCAGGGAACACCCTGTAGCTGATAAATCTTCTAGGGAGATTTTTCTTGTGGCGGAACTTTGATCCATCCTGAGTGGGTTCTATCAGCTGGACATTGTTTCCATGGTGCAGCACAACCCTTCGAGTGGACAATAGTTTTAGGTAACTTATAGGAACTGAACATGCACAGTGATCCAAAGGTTGCAAGATCTCACGGAAACATCGAGAACAGCTAATTCTTCTTTTTTTGCGAAATTTCACTTCAATCTCTTTCGCGAAAAATTTCACTTCAATCTCTTTCGCGAAAAATTTCACTAAATTTCCGGGTTTTTTATGCAAAAAATACGGTCCATTTAAAATATTTTTTCTTGTAATTGGCGGGCTCATGGCTTGCTGGATTTGGGTGAGAATACGTGGACGGACAAAACTCGGAAAGAAAAAGAAAAATCGTTTCGCGAAAATTTCGCATCTTCGCGAGAAAAAAACCAGGGAAATATGCGAAAAAAACACGGAAATTATGCGAGTAAAAAACAAACGAACGAGCTGGATTTGGTTGTACGTACGTGGAGTGACAGAAACTCAGAAAGATAGCTGGAGAAATCAAATTCTCTTCATCAAACATTTATTAAAGTAAAGGAAAAAAAATTATTAATATGATATAATAAAACTTTAAATGTTGAGCTCTCAGAGCAAAGAAATCCACAAGTTTTTTGCGCAACTAATTGTTGCAGCTACAACACTTATGGTTTTCGCGAAATATTTTTTTTAATGGGTACCGTCGGGAATCGGGAATGTTCCCCTTTCAATGGAAGGTCACATGAAATTACAATGACAGTCCCTTTATTTTCAGGAGAGTTTGATGATACTGAGGTGGATGGTTGGGAACAAACTCTTGAAGTTTCCGACATCTTTGTTCATCCTGATTACAATAATCATGATATTGATTATGATTTTACTCTGATTAAACTTGCTAAACCTGTTGAGCTTAATGATCATGTTGCTCCGGCTTGTTTCCCGTCAGAAAAAGATGATCTTGCTTCAACCTTTCCTCCAGGTTAGTATTTCTGCTAGTGAGAGGTNCTGGGGGGGGGGGGGTCCCTTTTTTAACATCTTATTTGGCATAACTCAGAAAGTATTGATTTGAGTTTCTTAGGCTGTTCAAATATCTTGTCTTTCTCGCATGCTCTCACTTTAAACCGCACAAACTTAGATTAGATATCTGAGTTCAGTGTTAATAATTTTGCTAAATTAAATTCAAATTTACACCAACCTTTTTTGTTGCTAAATAATAAGTTTAAAAGACCTTAGCAACGTCAAAAGATTGCAGAATATGAACAACGCCGCAATTTTCATAAGTTATAAAGGTGTGCCTTTTTAATTATTTATTTTAATAAATTTAATTTATTAATTTTAATTGATTTATGCAAACTGGGATGATAAAACGATAGATCATTATATATTAAATTGTACAGGTCAGGTTTGTATCATCTCTGGATGGGGTTCCATCAACCCTGAAGGAAATATCTGGGGACCAACATTGAAGCAGGAATATGCTCAGCTCTGGACTAATCAGGAGTGTGGGGAAGCATATCAACCTGAATGGGTAACTGACAGGTACACTATCAACCTGAATGGTTAACTGACAGGTAGGCTATCAGCCTTAATGGGTAACTAACAGGTAGACTATTGACCTGAATGGGTAACTTGCATGTAGACTATTAACCTGAATGTGTAACTGACAGGTAGACTATCAACATGAATGGGTAACTAACAGGTAGACTATCAACCTGAATGTATAACTGACAGGTAGATTATTAACCTGAATGTGTAACAAACAGGTAGACTATCAACCTGAATGGGTAACTGACAGGTAGACTCGTAGACTATCAACCTGAATGTGTAACTGACAGGTAGACTATCAACCTGAATGGGTAACTGACAGGTAGGCTATCAACCTGAATGTGTAACTGACAGGTAGACTATCAACCTGAATGGGTAACTGACAGGTAGGCTATCATCCTTAATGGATAACTAACACGTAGACTATTAACCTGAATGTGTAACTGACAGGTAGACTATCAACCTGAATGGGTAACTTACATGTAGACTATTAACCTAAATGTCTAAATGACTTGACCAATTTTATGAAAGTTTGAATCTGTTTTAAATAAAAAATTTTGCATGGAACCCCATAAACTTTCAATAAAAAAAACATTGATAAAGAATGTATCAGGATGGTATGTGCTGGATTTCATCTAACTGGAACCGAAGATCCTGAGAGATGTGCTTCACTAGGATTTGGGGATAGCGGTGGTCCTCTAGTCTGTAGGTAACTGGGCTTTTTTTGTAGATTTTACATATTTTTTCAGAAATTTCTCCAAAATTAAATTGCAAATACATTAATTTATTGGTTATGGACAGTTTTTCTTCTTCTGGCAAATTAAGTAAAATTTTGTGAAAAAATTCATTATTAGAAGTCAAACATTTGTTTTATTACTATCTCACAGATTTAGGACAAAAGAAAGATAGAAAAGAAAAAATCTGACTAAAGTCCAAAGAAGGATCTTTTCAGTAGGGCTAGATATTTTTAACGGCGTTAACGGCAAATATTTTAGAAATCTTAAACGGTGCCAGCTGTTAATGAGCCGTTATCAATTATTTTATGAAAAATTAGCTGGACAAATTCCAAGACAAAAATTGCCAAAAAAAACCATCAAAATGCATAACATTAAAAAATTCAACAATTAAGCGAGGGGAAAAGTATATTTTATTTTTTGCAAGTTTCGTGAAATTTAAAGCAGAAAGAATGAACGAAAGTCGCAGTTTTTTTTAACTCACATCCGTTTCGTTTATGTATGCTTACAACCGTTTCGTTTATGTATGCTTACAACCGTTTCGTTTTTCTTTAAGAACGGTTATTTCCCTAAGTCAACGTAACAACGTTTTAAAAATTAATGGTTTTTGCCGTTCGTTCAAAATCTTCGTTTCTTTAAAGGAACTTTGCCCAGGTTAAATCCTCCAGTCTGTTTTGTACGTTTTTTTCTAAACGGAAGATTTTTACATTTTTTTTACAACGGGAATTAAACACAACGCATATTTCTTTCCTTGCATTGACCGCGGTAATTTAGATTTTTCTTTTCTATTTTTCATTTGCATTGGATTTATTAATCTATGGAAAAAGTTGTTAAGTCAAATTAACATTAAACACATGACAACTGTCTAGAGGACAGTGTTTACAGTTTTCAAGCTATTGGTAAAAGTATTTGCTAACTAACTTACCAGCAAATACACATACGCGACTGCTGCAATGTCATTTTCCTATTCCAAGTTTTATGGGTCCTACTGTATACAGTTTTTTTTTTACTTTTTTGCCCATTTTGGCATAAATACAACTGCCCCAAAATCAATTTTACAATATAATTTCAGTTGACTTTAGGGAAAAACAAATTTAAAGCTTAAACAAGTTTCCCAGAAAAATCCGGCAGATGTGTTACAAAAATAAATCACGCAATCTCATTTTAAATCTAAAATCTATTTCTAAAAAACACGCAACCTTTGAGCACAGTATTCTGCAAAAAGTTGAAAATAATATCAAATTTTTTTATAAGGTAAAAAGTGATTAAAAATTTCTAAAACCCGGTTGAAGTCGAATTATCCAGACGTTTACACTTTTAACATAACTCATCCATTCTTATTTGCATATTAGGCTGCATACCTTAAAGGTTTGAATAAAAAAGTCCTTAATATTAGAAACAAATAACAATTAATGGAAGGGATTGACATTTGTGATTCACATCTAGCCTTGTCTCATAAAATAGAATATTTTTATTTCTGGGGAGGAAATTGTCAGAATTAAACACTTTTCAAAAAAATCGTCGATCCAATTAAAATTCCATGTACAGTCCCTTTAAATTGTAGGCATCCTGATACTGGACGATGGACCCATGTTGGAGCCACCAGCTGGGCAGATTTCTGTTATCCAGACTCATATACACCAGGCTAGGGCGTATACATTATACACACACCACTCTAAAAGTTGTATGATTCCAAGAAATATATAGACCAGGAACCGCCATATCTAATGCGTCAAATTTGTGTACTGCAGTGGGAGGCGATCAAAACAAAGAATTCAGGGGCAAACCATCAATTATGAGGGGGGGGGGGTGAAATAAAGTATATTGCTATCGTAGACACGAATACTGATTATAAAACGAAAGACTATTTGTTACTTGAGAGTATATGCTTTAAAGGCAGGATAGGGAAATGATAATTACCAAGATTATATTCAAATTGTAAAACGTTATATGGTAAAATTGGGATGTTTTAATAAAAGCAAAAACAATTCCTCACTCCACTCCATGGGGTTTAAACCTTGGGAGGAAGGATGTAAACCTTGGGAGGAAGGATACAAACATCGGCAGGAAGGGATTAAAACTTGGGAGGAAGAATGTAAAACTTGGGAGGAAGGATACAAACATCGGCAGGCAGGGTTTAAACCTTGGGAGGAAGGGTTTAAACCTTGGGAGGAAGGATACAAACATCGGCAGGAAGGGTTTAAACCTTGGGAGGAAGGATGTAAACCTTGGGAGGAAGGATACAAACATCGGCAGGAAGGATTTAAACCTTGGGAGGAAGGATGTGAAACTTGGGAGGAAGGATACAAACATCGGCAGGAAGGGTTTAAACCATGGGAGGAAGGATGTAAAACTTGGGAGGAGGGATACAAACATCGGCAGGAAGGATTTAAACCTTGGGAGGAAGGATGTGAAACTTGGAAGGAAGGATACAAACATCGGCAGGAAGGGTTTAAACCTTGGGAGGAAGGATGTAAACCTTGGGAGGGTGGATGTAAATCTTGGGAGGAAGGATGTAAACCTTGGGAGGGAGGATGTAAATCTTGGGAGGAAGGATGTAAACCTCGGGAGGAAGGATTTAAACCTTGGGAGGAAGGATGTAAACATTGAGAGGAAAGGTTTTAAGTTTTAAAAGAAAGTTAAACCTCGGAAACAAGGATAAGTGGAAATCTTTTTACCTTGCTTCTCCTTTATATTTGAACAAATTTCACTGAGCATGAATAAATTTTCCATATTGATCTGAAACCCAAAAATCATATTTAAATAAGTAATTTGTATCCGCACTAACTTAATATAATAACTAGTTTCTTTTGTTTTTAAATGTAACATCACTCTGTTTATTAGTGTTTAATCCTTTCTCTTCAACTGCTGTGGGGGCACTGGATTTGTTTACATTCCTCCCACAAGTGTACAGTACACAATTTGCGTATATCTGAGTTGGGCGTTCCTGGTCTATATACTTGTTGTATGATTCGAGCTGGTACAACATGTACAGTATATGCATTTAGTCGTACTGTCTAAACTACACAGTCTGAACTACCCAGTGTACGTAGAGTCGACCCACAGTGTACATTACAAAGGAGGGGATAGGGTGGCAATGACCCCCCCCCCCCCTTGGACTGCAGAGTTGCCAATTTGCCGCGAAAAAAGTCATATTTGGGGATTAATATATTTTTGGGAAAAGATACAAAAAAAGATAAAAATTAAAAAGTATATCTATGCTATATTTAGGCTCATTTTTTCTTCTTCTAAAGCTAAAGTTAGACAGATGTTTTCCCTCCTTAACATTTTTAATAAAGGAACTGAATACTCGTCTTAATATATAAGGTCCACGCCGTTAGGAAAATATTAAAGGTCTTCGACATCAGGTTGCAAAGTTAAAAATAAGACAATTATATGTTGAAACCGTGAGTTCCTTTAAATATTTGCGCTTGAGCAACCCCCCCCCTTCCCCCTGGTTTATAAAACTCCTGCCTGTACTAAGATTAATCCCCCGGGTGTTGTAAAACAACCCAGACCGATGGAATATTTAATTGCTTCTCCAAATTTTACAATTAAAAACTAATTCAAAATGTCTTCTTGTTATTTATTGTTGCAAAATTAAAAAGAAACGATGAAGAAGGGAAAAGAAATTGTTTTTATAAAACAAAACCAACATTGATAAATTTAAAATCATATTTCTAAAAAAATTCTTCAAGTGGACGGAGTGATTTACTTAACAAATTGAATACAATCCAATCCTATTAATACACTTATTTGAACTTATCAAAAACTTTAGATTATTTCTATTTAAAAAAAAAATACAACTTCAAAAAATTATGTTTTTTTTTCTCAGATATTTTTATTAGTCAAAAAAAGTTATCAAGAACATTTCCAAACATTAAAGTAGAAACAAATAAAAAACTTTTCTGTATTTATTTATTTACTTGGTGACAAATATTAAAATTTTCCACTGTAGAATCAAATATGCTTAATTTACCTAACTTTAATCCGTTTCTATTGCTCTTGATTGAACATAAATATCATGAACAAACTTTTCTTTTTTAAATAACATATTTTCTTTGTGGCTGACTGCCTGCCACACTTAAAACTAATTATAACAAAGTACAACCTATGTGTATTGACATAATTTAAGTCATATTATGATCTCAAATTTAACCCTAAACAAAAAAAACGTAACAGACTTTACGTACATATAAATATATAGTCCAACAAAAATATAAAATATTTAAATACAAAAAATGTTTAGCAGGTGAAAATGGGTTCTAAAGTTAAGACTTCTTGACTTTTTATAGAAACCCAAATTTAAATTGGCCAAAATGAACTTTTGTATATTCCCCTTTCCCCGCCTTATCTCTTGAAATTGTATTAAAATTTCCTTGTTCTTTATGGAAAAAAGTTTTGTCATTTAATTTCCATATTTTCATTCTACATTGTTGTGTTATCAACCCTTTTACCCCTATATCAGGGGCAGAACATTTCTTATTGTGAAGGGGGGGGGGGGGAAGCTACAGGGAGTTTGACTTCATTCTAAATAATTCAGAGAAAATACAGTGATAACCAGAAAGCTTTGAAATTGGAATACGACTTAATTTATGACTTTAAAATTCCAATGAGCATGAGACACATCAATTGTCCAGTGTAAACAGACCCATTTCACTAAGTTAGTGCTTTAATAAGTGTCTAGTATATTTATTTGCTTTGTAACAACATCAAATATTGAAATAATACCGTCTTCCTATTTCATTGTTTTCTGGTTATCGCTGTATTAGAAAGTTTTCTAAATATAAACACACAGCAAAAATTCTAAATTTGTTTTATTATCTTGGGTCAGCACTCAGCACAAGCATTTTTAAACATCATACCGTGGTAGACGGTTATATCAATACAATGAAAACGACTTTTATTTTAGTTTAGATTGTTAGCATAGCTTTTTTCGAATTACAAGTTTACAACTAATCAAAAAGGGGCTTTTTAATACTACTGTTTCTGTTTATGTATTGTCAGCTTGATATAAATCAAAGCTTAAATCGAAAGTCGTCTTTATTGTATTGATATAATCGCCTTCCACTATATTTCATGAGGAATTTTTAATTTCATCAGAAAGTATTGAAATGGGTATTTAAAGGTTTTTTTACTTTTTAAAAATTAATTGAATAAAATTGAAAACATGGAATTCAGGGATAAGCTTCGTAATCAATTGTCTTACTTTTATAAATGGATCGTGGCCATCTATTCAAAAGATCGTTTAAAGATCAAGCTTTAAGGAACATTATTTGTATTGACTTCCGATTTACCCAGTCAACCGATTCACTACGGTACCCTCAATGCAAATGTTAGATATCGTTTCTTTTCTGTTTTTAAAACAGATCATTTCTGTCAATCTTCTTTCATTTTTATGCTGCAAAAATCAGCAAGTTCCTTAAATTTACTGGATTTGTTTTGCAAGTAGGTAGGTAAGATAGAAAATTCCTAATTAAAAGAATAAATATTGTCAAACTCAGGGGGACCAAACATTTTCGAATTTTTTTGGAGTTTTTTTTTTAAACTGTAAGATTTTCTTTCCTGTTGTTGCTCACACAGAAAAAATTCTATATCCCACACCCCTTTGATTCCACCCTTTCTTGATAAAACTCGTAACTTTAAGATAATGTGAGGAAACTTTAATTTTCCTTCTCTATAAACTTTAATTTTCTTTAACAAGATTAAATAAGCTCAAGCACAGGGAGGGGAGGGGGGGAGATGCGGAAGGGGGAGGGGAGAGAAGGAAGGTTTAGGTTATGTAGGGAGGGAAGGTTGAGAAGATAGGGGGAGGGGAAAGGGAGAATGGAAGGTAGAGGGGAGAGGAGGAAGGTTTAGGTATATGAAGAGAGGGGGAAGGGCAGCATGAAGGTAGAAGAGGAGATGAGAAGTGAGAAAGGGAAGGTTTAAGTGGATTAGGGAGATGGGGGCGAGCAAGGGTAGAGGGAAGGTTCCACAAGTCCTTCTCCATTTTATTCTAAGCTAATTTTTTATCGATAAAGTTCTGACAAACGTAATGACGAATTAAAAAGAAAAAACAAATTTAGATATATCTTTAATATAATTTCTTAAATAAAAAATATATCTATGGTAAATGCTATTATGGAAAAATCACAAAGAAAAATAACAATTTCTTTAATAATACTAAATTAACATGGTTTTCTGACAAAAGTGAAAGACGAGTCACACAAAGTTATTTAAAGTTGGGATTTTCTAGATCAAGACAAAAAACATTGATCTTCATGCAGGGGCGGACACAGGATTTAAGTGAGGGGGTGGCAAGATTTTTTAGGAACAAAAAAATTGATAATTAGGAACAAAATTAAAGGATTAGGACATTTTGTCTTCATGCAAATGTGATAGACATAATGTGTTGAATCTAAAAATAGAAACTCTTTCTGACTACAAGGTTATTCCCAATCCATCTCTTCATCCAGTTCCTTGGTCTCTGTGATGTCCACATCCATCTTAACTACTTCCTCCTGGTCCTGGTTCTCCTGAGAACAAGCATTTGTTTTTAGGATTTCCTCATTGAAACTCTCATCACGCGACTCTATCTTAACTGCCTCACTATCATCCTAAAAGTAAAGCAAAATAAGTCAAAACTTTTAATTTGAGAATCTTGGATTAAACATTGATCTCCATCTTATATGCAGATCTACAGATTAATTTAATTCCTCTTCAAATTCCAACATCCAATTTTAAAGATGGAAACATTGGATAAAGAGATCAACCATTGAAGATAACGATACTTTATAGACAAAAGTTCCGACCTATAAACCCACAAACAATTCATTCCAAAACCTTATAATGTACAGCCTGATAGTTTATGTATCTGTACTTCTCTGTTAGTGAAAATTGATTAATTACATAAGTTATCTTTCTAAAGGTAGCTTAAATAACTGATTTTCTAGTGGTTTCTTTAGATAGAAGTAACCTAAATAAAGTAAAACACTTGTCTTCGGATTTTCTTTACAGCTACAAATAAAAATCTTTAATTGAATTTTCAAGTTGTTTGTTCAAGGTACAGGGTGTCCCAAAAAACATGGGAATTCAGTGACGAATTCAATATCGCCTTTGTTATGAATTAGCAATTGTAATACCTAATTTCAAAAGCCATAATATTATTATGTCTGCTCGAGTTTATTTCATGAAAAGGGTAAAAGACTGTAAAGATATGTCTATAATGTCTCCGCAAAATAAACAGTGAAGACGGACAAGTTTACTCTGTTTGTATATTGCAATTTTCTTGTTTTACTAAGTACAACCGTATGCAGTCAAAACATAAACAAACAAAATGTGAACATAGCAGACGAAACTCTTACAGATTACAGCTTTCTCAGTAGGTATCACTATACGAAATCAAAGAATTAGTTAAAAAGACGATATCGAATTCGTCACTGAATTCCCATGTTTTTTGGGACACCCTGTACAATAAAATTAATCTTTTCTACCTCTGCTGAATCATCTTGTGAATCATTTGCTCTGCTATGATCCTGAATATTGGATCTTGGAGACCATGATAGTCGTATTTGCAGGTGATTTTGGTGATTTTTTACTTGGCTTCGAGACTGGATCTCAATCTCAAGGTCGACTGGTTTTTCTGTATTTTCCTCTATTTTCACTGGGACTTCAACAACCTGGAATTGTAACAGATAATTATGATATCATAGAAAGGCATTCATAGAGTTTTAAAATGTTTTTGATATGTAACATATCCAAAGAAGGCGAAGAGATTGCTACATTAATAAAACCATTTTATGTAACAAACACAGATCAAATGTCAGATTTTTTCAATAACCTTTGACTTAGAATTGTAGATTTTTATCTGAGCTGAAAACTTTAGAATGGGATATCCTTAACCCTATTCCCGCTGGGGGGGGGGGTCAATTTGACCCCCCCTT